TAATAAAAATAGCAATTAGTACATAGAGCACAAAAAAACTAAATAAAGGCTTAATGATGGCAATTTGAACGATGAGTGGTTCAAAGAACAAATCATTGAAAAAATAATTACATTAGAGAGAATGTTAAAAATATGACAACAGACTAAGATTTCTGGGAGGCATTAAAGGAACAAAAACTATACCTTTGAAAACATATACTAACAATAGAAAAAGAAAATTAATAAACATAAAATTTTAAGAACTAGAAAATTGGTCAATAAATCCAACATAAACACAAAAGGGAAATCTGGAAAATTAGAAGAGAAAGTGTTAAAATAAAAAACAAAAAGACTGGTGAATTCATAAACCAAATTTAAAAACTAATTTTTTGAAAAGACTAATACAATCAATAAACCTTTAGCTAATCTAACCAAAAAGAAAAACATAAAGAAAAAAGAGAATAGGAAGATCAATTTGCCAAAAAATAAAAAATAAGTCATGTGTCAAAATAAAACAAAAAAAAATTATCAGACCCTCTATACACAGTTATATGCTGAAAAAATTGAGAATTTAAGGGCAATGGATAATTACTTTTATAAATATATACCCACATACCAAAAGTTAAAGATATCTAAGGTGGCAGAAAAGGAAACCAATTTTAAACGAAGTTTCCACAAAATAAAACTGAATAATAATAAACAGTAACTGGAACTTACATAACACTTTAAGATTTGTGAGAAACTTACCATGTGTTAATCAAATATCATCAATCAATAAGTCTTAAAGGAACTGCCAACAGGGAAGACAAAGAAGCAAAAAACAAAGAAAACCTGGTTCGGATGGATTTGGAAAAGCAGAAAGTAGTAGAGCAGAAAGAACGTGGGCCTCAGAAAGCCCTTGATTTAAGTCCAAGCAGACGTTCATTGGCTGTATGACCCTCAGCAAGTCAGTAACCCATCAATATTTTTAGCAACTTACGAAGCCTGAAAGTTGCATAGATGCTGTCAACCTGCTATTGATAGAGGGAGTTTCCTTATCTGGGAATTTCTTATGCCAATAAACCACAGGTTCAATTTCTATCTTATCCAGATGGAGTTACAGAGGAATTCTTTCAAACATTTAAAGATTAGTTAAATAATACCTATGCTGCACAAATTATTCCCAGACATTAAAAGAGGGAAAGAAAAGCATATTCTACCAAAAAATTTTTTTACAAATGACAAATATAATTCTAAAACTCAAGCCAGGGGAGGACAAGAAAAAAAAAGCAAACCATAGATTAACTTCACTAATGAACATTGACACAAATATTTAAATAAAATCCTAGCAAGACTACAGTAGTATATCCAAAAACTTATTTGCTTTGACCCGGTTATATTTATATTAACAATGCAAAAATGATTCAACGTTAGGAAAACAACGTAACTAACCATATTAAAAAACAAAAACACTCCAAATCACACAATTTTATCAATTTGTTGTTCAGGTGTGTCTGACATTTTGTGACCCCATTTAGGGTTTTCTTGGCAAAGATACTGGAGTGGTTTGCCATTTCCTTCTCCAGCTCATTTTACAGAGGAGGGAACTGAGGAAAAGAGGGTTAAGTGACTTGCCTAGGATAACACAGCTAGTGGGTGTCTGAGGCTGGATTTGAACTCAGGTATTCCTTACTCCAGGCCTGGTACTCTATTCGCTGCACCACCCAGCTCCCCTGTCATATAGTAAGCACTTATTAAATGCTTATTCCCTTCCTTTTGCAGAGCAACCATATTAGGAGACTGGAGAATGGTGCCAAACAACAAAGAAAAATGAGGAGGAGTAGTCTTACAGGTGGGAGGAGGACCAAGAGAGAGTAAAGTCACAGAAGCTAGGGGGGGTGGTTAACAATTTCAAAATCTGTAAAGATTTGGAGGAACTTAAGAACTTGAGAAAAGATCTTGTATTCAGCTGTTAAGAGATCACTGGCAATGTTTAAAAGAGCAGTTTTAGCCCAGTGGTAGAATTTTTGAGCAGTAAAAAAAGAGAGGCAGAAAGTGTAGACTTTTCTTTCTAGGCATAATCTATACTCATAATAGCTGCACAGGGTAATGAAGAAATCTTGTAAAACATATAGCACAAATCTTTCCCCACTGATACATGTGTCTGTGGGGCATTATCCTTGTGTAGGACAAGGAAAGCTTAGAATTATTCTATTATTTAATTTTTCTCTATTATTTACTTTGCTGTTTGTTGTTGTTTGGTTGTTTCAGTCATATCTGATTCTTAATGACCCCATTTGGGGTTTTCTTAGCAAAGATACTGAAGAGGTTTGCCATTTTCTTCTCTTGCTCATTTTAAAGATGAGGAAACTGAGGTAAACAGGGTTAAGTGACTTGCCCAAGGTCACATAGCTAGTAAGTGTCTGAGGCCAGATTTGAATTCAGGAAGAAAAGTCTTCCTGACTCCAGTCCCACCACACTATCTACTGTGCCACACCTACCTGCCATTTACTTTGCTATTCTGTCTTAATTAAATACTTTGCTATTGAAAAATGGCAAAAACAAAACAAAACTATAACACTATATGAATATGAGATATTATTAATAATGTCGATCATGTACATACATATATTCTATTTTTTAAAATAGTAATAGCTAGAATTTATATGGTGCTTTAAGGCTATATAGGTCTTCAAGTTTCCTAAAGTACTTTATACATAAATTTTATATTCTTACATCCTCACAATAACCCTATGAGGTAAATACTGTTATAATCTTCATTTTACAGATAAAAAAACTGAAGCTGAACGAGTTTGGGTGACGTACCAATGTTACATAACTAGCAAGTGTGTAAAGTAGAAGATGAACCCAGGTATTCTTGGCTACAAGTCCAACAATATATTCACTATGTCACACTCAGGTCAGCTGCTATTACTATGCTCAGGGTTCTAGTATAACAATAAGGGTACAGGATTTCTGGTAATATTGCTCACAAGCCCCTATTGGTGTGCTTCTCATTACCAATCTCATTACTCGATTACTCATTCAGTCAGACTTAAATTAGCGTTTAGAAAAGGTATTTACTAATGTGGCAGAGTAAGAACATTTGGTATAAAACATTTCTCTACAAGTCTGGGGTACACATTCCACTTGCACACACAAGAGAGTAGACTCAAACTTAAAGTATAGGGTTGATCCACTGTTTGTTATTAAGTCATTTTTCAATCATGATCCACCTTCTGTGATCCTATTTGAGGTTTTCTTGGTGGCGATACTGGAGTAGTTTGCCATTCCCTTCTCCAGCTAATTTTACAGATGAGGAAACTGAGGCCAACAGGGTTGAGTGACTTGCCTAGGGTCACACAGCTAGTAAATGTCTCAGGCCAGGTTTGAACTTACAAAGATGAGTCTTCCTGACTTCAGGCCTAGCTCTGTGTCCAGTATGCCATCTAGCTGTCCCCTGACTGCTAGGCTGTCCCAATCTGTTGCTGGGCCAAGCTGCTAAGTTGGCAACTCACAATTTCTTCAGACCTTACAGCGCTCACAAGTTTTCTGCCTGAATACATCACGGCTGGCTGCTACTCGGCCTCCTCTTAACTCCTGTGGCTAGTGCTCTTGGCTCTGGTGGACTGCGCCACTAATGCTAGTCACCAGTGGGACCTCGGGGTGACCTCTGAATCTCCTAAACTCATACGGTCCATTAATGGACACATCCACTTCAGAATATTTATTCACCTAATATTAGGAAAGAAAATAAGGAAAGTATAAACACAGAGAGACAGAGGCAGCCATGTACTTATAGTTGCCAAAGCTAGGTGGGAGATGCAGCAGCTACCTTTCCCTCTATCCAGCTGCTCAAAAGAGTCCTGTTTCCTTGTAGCTGCAAAGGAAAGAGTCTGAGCTGTGGAAGGGTCCCCTCTTTTGTGTGCACGCAGTTCTGACTCATAGACTCCTGAGTCATAAGTTCTTCCAGTTCAAAAACCAATCAGGAGACTTTACAACACCACATAATACCAGCACCTGAGCCATTCATAGGTAGACACTAGCTCCCCAAAATGTCCGCGTAGTTGAAATGGAAACATTCAGAGGATATCTGTGCAAGCTTCAAGGACTGGTTCTTGCAAGCCAGTCCACTCATGATACACAGTAACCTACAGAACTCCTTTGACATTAAAAAAAGAGGTGGGCAGACACATAACACTCACTAGCTGGGTGACTCTGGGCAAGTCACTTAACCCCAATTGCCTCATATTAAAAAAAAAAAAGGGTGGGGAGAAAAGGGATACAGGTCTAGTAATGACTTGACATTTCTTTATTCCTTTCAGAGAGTTGGAATGAGAATGTAGAGATATCTAATACAATCCTTTCTTTTTTTAGGTGAGGAAATAGAGACCAAAATAAGTTAAATGATTTAACCAAAGTCATACAACTAAGGAGTGAAAGAGCTGGGATAAAATTCAGGTCAGTACTTTTAGAACACAGTAATATTTTTAAGGAGTAACCAAATATAGTGGTCCTCCCTTTCTCCCCCACATATACACACTCATTCATGACACCCTACCATACCACACCACACCATACCAAGATGGAAGAAATGACTGAGGGAGCTAGCTGTTCAGTAGAGAAATTGATCATCCAAGTTGAGCCCCTTTGCTACGTGCCGTATCAAAACGCCGTGGTCAGATTTATCTTTGAGAGGATGTTTATTTCCTTCTTGACACCTGTAAGAAATTACTTAAAATGTCTCCTTCCCCTGATCTGTTGTTCGTCATTCCATCTGCATCAAAAATTAAATCATCTTTGCACGAGGCTGCAAGGACATCTGTTTGCAATCATCCTCCCCAAGGAAGCAGTGTTTCTGGAGAAGTAGAAACCTGATTCTCCCCTTTCTGTATTCACAGGCTGCTTTTGGAGAAGTTTCCAGCAGAGGATCTGGGAAGGCTGAAGGAAGTTAGATAAGAGTGCCTTTCATATGACTTCACCACCGGGGCCTGGCTGGCTCAGGAGAGAAAATGCTTTTCCTCCGCCAGTTAGTCACTGCTTGTCCTACTTTTCTGAAGTCAAGGAGTACTCACATAAAGAGCAACTTGTTCAGTGACAGAAAAGGTCATTTCTGCTGGCCAAGCACTTGGAAAGGAGACAGGAAGCATATTATTTTTAAAAGGTAAAGTGATAAAATATTTGCTTACCAAAGGGACAGACAGCATGGCTTAAACCCACCTAGGGGTCTGCTCTATCCTGCAGGGCGGGAATGACTCCATCGTCTTGCTATTACCCTGATGGAAATAGCAGGCAGTTAGAAGCTGAGATGGCTTTTGCTTCAATTGCTTAGGGGCTCAAACCATGCAGATGGGGGGCTGTATGCACTGATGGCAGGCATATAACCTTTTCTACCTCTCTTGGAACTTGTGAACTTTTAGAAATTTCTCAGGAGTTAGAAAAAGTGGGAAATGGCTTCCTCCAAGAGGCAAAGCCAGGTTCCACTGCATTTTTAGAGATGATTGTGTTGTGAAATTGCTCCTCCTTCCAATTTTTGCTTCCCATTTTTATATATGCAGCAAGAGGATAGCAATTAAAAGCCTTTTCTGAAATGTAAATGAGAAACTTTCCACAGTCAAAGTTTATATTGTGGCATCGTTAGTATGTAAATAACACATGGTACTTTATAGAACCTGCCATAATTGGCTCTATTTGAAAGGATGTCTTTATGTAAGAGAATATTATCATTGGAAATGCAATGTAAGTGGTGCCATCAGGCATACAGTACATCTTGGGGGAGAATACGAATGTTTTATTCGGAAGAGCAAGATCGATAACTTCCTTGTTTTTTTTGTGAGTGAAACTTAATTAAAAGCAGAAATACTATATAATCAAGGGTAAAACATTTATTTTTTACCCCTAAAGATTGGATCATACAACACAAAATGCTTTATTAAATATGATATTAATCCAGGCATGTTGCCTTGGAGTCAGGGTTAAGTCTTCCATCTGATACTTGTGACCCTGGTCAAGTCACTTAACTTCACCGTATGCTAAGCAGCTGTCAAAGCCTGCAAGTAATAGAGCAATGACTGATCTGTATCAGTAGAGGGAATTTCCACACTGGGAGTTCCTCAGATGGCTAAAATCACCAGGATGCTTAAAAAAAAAATCAAGCCAACTCTGTAATTAAGAACAAAACTTCTAATTGCTCGTACAGCTGGATCTCCCCCACAGAGACCACAACTGTAGTAAAATGAATGAAATCCACCCTGTCTTTTTCCCCTGCTTGTTTGACTTGCATTGGTATTTGCCCTGGGAAACTATGCAAGGCTAACTACAATTATGCTCTGCCCACAGTGGCAACAAAGCTTTGATTTTTAGGGAGAATTACTCTGTCAACATATACTGCTTCCAGCAGGCATTTGTATGTCCAGTATCACTGCTCCTTGAACAGGGCTCAGTTGATTTTCAAGTGGGAAAGAAAAATCACAGAATCATAGAATTTTAGCATTATTTATATGGTCTGACAGAGGTACCATTATTAGAGATTGGAATCTTCTGACTGTGAAGAAAAGATTGTTGTTGTTTGTCCTTCGTTCCTGAAGAGAACCAGGACATTAGGAAGGTGATGCCTTGACTTGCAAGTGAATTGGATCTAAGTGAGAGAGGGCTGTGCAAAGTCACCAATTCCACTTTCTCCTCTGGAGCCATCTGGGTCCAGTGGAAAGATATAAATCAGGACTACTGGAGACAGCCCAGAATGTAATGGGAGACCTTGGCCTTTCTTTTTCTTTTTCTTTCTTTGTTTCTTTGTTTCTTTGTTTTTCTTTCTTCCTTCCTTCCTTCCTTCCTTCCTTCCTTCCTTCCTTCCTTCCTTCCTTCCTTCCTTCCTTCCTTCCTTTTTCTTTCTTTCTTTCTTTCTTTCTTTCTTTCTTTCTTTCTTTCTTTCTTTCTTTCTTTCTTTCTTTCTTTCTTTTTTTCTTTCTTTCTTTTTCTTCCTTTCTTTTCCTCGAGGCAATGGGGTGAAGTGAGTTGCCCAGGGTCACACAGCTAGTAAGTGTAAAGTGTCTGAGGTCAGATTTGAACTCAGGTCTTCCTGAATCCAGAGCTCTATCCATTGCACCAAGTCTTTAACAGGTCTCAGTTTGACTGAGGCAAATGAAGAAAAGAAAAAAATGAAGTGAACAGCTTGTGCATTACACTGGCCCTGGAATCTACTTTGTGCCTTTCTTTTTTTCATTAAAACAGAGGGAAATTTAAAGGGAAGAAAAAAACAAAACAGGTGATTCTGATTCATTTATACTTTGATTCACGGAAAGCCACAGAATCAAAGAGGTAGAAGTGGGTGGAGTTAGAAGGAGGAGAAAGTCATCTAGTCATTTCTTTGCCTTCAAGAAAGGTCACATGGAGAGCATATCACTGAAATGGGAAATCTCTTTTCTCCAGGGCCAGAAATTCTAAAACTGCCCCTGGTTACCTACTTTAACTTTTAATGACAGTCATGAAGGAGGAAAGCCAACTTATATAAAAGAAATGTAATCTGAACTGAACCTCAATTGTAAAGTCCAGAATTGCCTTATTTATCTGGCATCACTGTGGAAAATGAAATGCTCTTTATGGGTGATTTTCCTGACAAATGAAACTACCCCTCATTTTTTCTTTTAATTCAGGGTAGAAATTTTTCTTTAAAATATGTATATTATGCTCTATTCCCTGCTTCCTTAAATAGAATATGATGAAATTAATTTGATCATGTCTTGTTGATTGGGACCATCATAAACAAAAAGAAATGGCTATAGTAGGTAGGTAGAGTTTCTTATATCTGGTAGGAGATGTCTGGTGTACAGATTTCAACCCTGCTGTGACTTAGATGAAGTCCTAGAAAATCACATTCAACAAATAGATGTAAGTGATTTTGCCCAATGTCACAAAGCTAACAAGTATTAGGGACAGGATTTGGACCCAATCTAAAACCAAAATGATAATATTAGAATTATTTTTATGAGAAGTCACAATTTTTTCCTCCAAAATTTTAGAATCCACAAAATATAATTAAAATTAATGTAATTTGTGTAATTTTGTGATTTTGAAGCTATGGGGAAATTATTTCTCCCGTCCCTAGTCATTACTACTAATAGTTTAGGAAAAGCTTTGCCTATGAAAAGCATCCTATAAAATGGGAGACCAAAATCAGATTTAGATATGTCAAAGTGATGGGTGAAGCATTGCATTGTAACTTATAAATGTCAAAAAAGGGCCTATTTAATTCACTGGGCATAAGGTATGTTACCTATAAAAAAAAATCCAGGAAACAGGAATATGGAAGTGGTCAAAAACATAAAAACCCTTTAAGAATAATATTTAGAACTACTTTTCTTATTATTTTTTTCCTATCCAAAGAACTGCAGAGAAAAAAAATCTGACAGAAGGTACGTTAAAGAACTTTTGCATTCCCTTTTTTTCCCCTCCTTAAATTCTCTGATTCCCAAGATGTAGCAGCCAAGAAATCTCATATGCTATATTCTCAGTCTATGTAAGCACTATCCAAGATAATGGACTAAAAATAGCTTGTCCCCTGCATACATACATAGGAGGAGGAAAACTAATGAATGTGGAGCCTTTGAAAAAGGCATGAATATGTAAAACCAACAGGAGGAACATAAGGTTAAAAGAGAAGGATGAGAATGGAAGTAGCTTAGGACAGACCCTGTCATGCTGAAGTCAGGTAGTATAGAGAAACAGGTGATGAGAGATAGTGATAGCAATTTCTCTCTTGAGCAATTTTTTTAAAGTGTAGTGTTCCCAGAGCCTGTACTATGAAATGTTCTATTCTCATGACCATAATTTATGCATTTGGAGGAATTTCTCATATCGTTAATGATTTCATTATTCCACTCACTCTGGAATTTCCATAGATTACTGGGATCAATGTAGGGCTAATATATAGCTTCAGTCCACCAAACAGTGCCTACTCTACTAATAGTGAAGGCAGAAATTAAAAAAAAAAAAATCAAACAGCAAAATGTTCAATTGGTAAAGAATAGAAAAGTAAATAGAAAGGAAAGGGTAAGCAAGAGAATCATTCTCAGCCCCCATACATAAATCAGTACAATCTCCCACAGATTCTCACACTGTTGAAGAAGGATTTAGGGCTTCATCCCTAATTAAACCACTAGAAAACTCATGCTGCTAAGGGAGCATCTTCCTTCAAAAATGTGCCGCTCCTCATTTCCCAAGTCCTGTTGATGTCACCACTATACTCTCACTTACCCAGGTTCAGATCCCTGTTTCTAACTTTGAAATATCCATTCATTCCTTAACTTTTAGGATTTGTAAGATTATATAGAACAGTTGTAATAGTTTATATTTCATAGCAAATTATGCTTTTGAAAATATGAGCAAAAGTGGAACATTTTATTTCATTTGATCCTTCAAACAGGCAAGCATTATTACAACCCATCTTACAAATTAAGAAACTGAGTGAAGCTCTTGACTGGTTAAATGACTTGTGCCAGTTCACATAGCTAGTTTATAAGGGTGAAATACATTCTTTCCATTCACACTGCCACCAACCTAGTTGAACCCCATTACCTCTTACCTATACTGTTATAATAGGCTATTAATTATTATCTTTGCCATGAGCTTCTTTCTAGGAGCTTATGTAAATTAAGAAATGACACAGTCATATCACCATGTTCAAAAATCTTTAAAAAAAAATTTTTTTTTTAGCCTGGAAAGACTTGTATGGACTGATGCTGAGTGAAGTGAGCAGAACCAGGAGAACATTGTACACATTAACAGCCACATTGTGCAATATCTAATTTTATAGACTTAACTCTTCTCAGCAATGCAAGGATCGAAGACTTCTCCAAAAGTCTCATGATGGAAAATGCTATCCACATCCAGAGAAAGAACGATGAAGTCTGAATGCAGATCGAAGTATACTATTTTCTTTTTTTTCCTTCTGTTTTTTTTTGTTCCTTCTTTCTTGTGGTTCCTCCTATTGGTTCTAATTCTTCTTTCCAACTTGACTAATGTGAAAATATGTTTAACAGGAATGTTTATGTAGAGACTATATCAGATTGCATGCTGTCTTGGGGAGGGAAGAGGGAAGGTAGAGGGAGAAAATTTAAAACTCAAAAGTTTAAGGAGGTGAATGTTGAAAACTAAAAATAAATTAAT